TTACTAATGTTACCATCGTAGATAAGTTACTAAAACTGCTTTCAAACTAAAGGTTTGAAAAGGGATCACTTATTTGATTTGGTGCAATTCTGTGACAGTTTGCTAAGTTTTTTAACAGAGAACTCTAAGAATTTTCAGAATTAAAAATGTCTAGATTTATTTGATGATTTCACAGAGAGAATAAATAGCCAAAAAGACAGCAGGAAACATACCTACCTAAATAAAGGAATGAGCATTTGGGAGAGAATGCCTCCAGGCTCAAGTGGTGGGCCAGGTCCCAGCTTGCTGATTTACCAACATGCCTGATGTCCATCCCAGCACCAGTAAGAGTTGCTACACTCTAGGAGTGGCCTGAGGTCCCACAGGTGAGGCAACTATTACCCTATGTGGTAGTGCTTGCCAATTGCTTATGGTCCACGGAGCTGTGGCTGTGGGCACCATAGCTTGAGCTTCTTTTCCTCTTTGGTGCTTTAAGTTAAACAAGTCCTTGTTGATGGACAGTGTCCCACACTGAGCCTTCAAAATGCTTCCCCTTAGAAATTTAGTTTGTTTTGGAAGATGGTTGCTGAAAGCCTTTGGATACTTGAAACAATATTCATGCTAGTGTTTTACCAACAAGCACTGGCTACTGTAAAACCTCCAAAATAAGGATTACTAACATTCATTCATGTGTCTGTGTGTCAGGCCTGGAGTATGGTATTTCACCTGCATTTTCTCATTTATTATTTACAAAACAATAAAGCTCGTGGTATAAGTATGTATGTTTTGCAGATGAGATGAGATAAGAACACTCCAGCTAAGAAAGGTTAATTTGCCCAATGTCACATGTCAAGAAAGTGAACCCTGATTCAGATTCAGGCCAACTGACCCAGGGCTCTTATCTACTATGCTAAAAAAGCCACTCAGCACACACCAACATTGGTAATATCATAAAAACAGCACAAACGTAAACTACCCAGGGATCAACCTAACTGAAAAAATGCAGGTGATAATATAAAATGTTCAGATTTTTATTGTGGCACATAAAAGACTTGAACGAATGGAGAGGTATACTGTATTCCTGATGAAAGACTCAACAATGTAAAAATGATCATCTTAAATTCAACCCAGTCATCTTAAAAATCCCTATGCACATTTCATCTGGAAGAATAACTGTGTACAAAGAGCCAGGACAATTTTAAAAGAAGGAAAAAGTGAAATTGTAAGATGGAATAAGGGTAAGGAGTTCACAGGGAGTGTGTCATGCTTGATCAACAATTAAAACAGTGTACACTTGGAACCAAGTTAGAATTAACATTTCATAGCAAGTGGATTATTTAATAAATAGTCTTGGGACAACTGACTAACATTTGGGGGGGAAATTTGGAGCTCAACCTCATGCTTTATACTAAAATAGACTCCAGATGAGTTTGAGTGTTAAAAAGAAAGAAAAAAAGCCAGAAAAAATTCAGGAAAATATTATATAGCTTTAAGGAGGAAACTAGTTTGAAAGCATGATACACAAGTCAGAAATCATATTTGAAAAGGATAGATGTGGCCGGGTGCGGTGGCTCATGCCTATAATCCCAGCACTTTGGGAGGCCGAGGCAGGCGGATCACGAGGTCAGGAGATGGAGACCATCCTGGCTAACACGGTGAAACCCTGCCTCTACTAAAAAAATACAAAAAATTAGCCGAGCGTGGTGGCAGGCGCCTGTAGTCCCAGCTACTCGGGAGGCGACAGAGCGAGACTCTGTCTCAAAAAATAAAAAATAAAAGGACAGATGTAACTACATTAAAAACTCAATGTTCTTGTACTTCAAAAAACACAGTAGGCTGGCTGTGTATCTCACACCTGTAATCCCAGCACTTTGAGAGGCTGAGGTGGGTGGATTGCTTGAGCCCAGGAGTTCGAGACCAGCCTAGACAACATGGCATGACTCTGTCTCCACAAAAGTTAGCTAGGTGTGGTGGCACACAACTGTAGTCCCAGCTATGGGGGAGTTGGGGAAGGGGGGATGAGGTGGTAGGATTGCTTGAGCCCAGGAGGTTGAGGCTGCAGTGAGCTAAGATCTTGCCACTGCCCTCCAGCCTGGGTGACATGGCAAGATCCTATCTAAAAATGTAATAATAATTGTTCTACTTTATGAGCAGAGACTATTAATAAGCAATTCAGCAAAGGAAGAAATTAAAATTACCAACTAAGCTTTGTAAAAGGTTTATTCTTTGTAGTAATAAAAAAGTAACGATAAATACGATACCATTTTCACCTACTGGACTCACACAAAAAAATGAAAATAATAATATTCAATGTTGGAGAGGACGTGGGGAAAAGGATATTTCCCTAAAGAGTAGTGTTGGAAGAATGTAAATTGTAAAAATTTCTAGGAAAGGGGGATAATTTGACAATGAGCCATTAAACTTTTAAAATTGTGTATACTTTGACCTAACAATTCCCTTTCTAGGGATATATGCAAAGGTAACTATTGGAAGTTTCCAAAGATGTAGCAATGTTTATAATAAACAAAAATTAAAAATTTAAAGTAGCCTAAATGTTTAACAATAAGGAATTGGCTAAAAAAATATTTTTGATTTAGTGAGACAATAGAAAGCTATGTAGTCACTGAAAGGATGTTGTATATTTATTAGCAGAGACAGATGTTTACCTGTGAATGAGAGTGAGAAAAGCAGATTACAGAACAATATATAAAATATCCCATTTTGTACAGAAAAGATATATATTATTATCACAGGAAAATCTTTGGGGAAATAAATACCAAAATGTTAACGTAGTGAGATTATTGGTATTTTTGTTTTGCTTATTTGTATTTTCTATTTTTTTAACCAATGAATAGGGACTAATTTTATAATAATTAACTTTAAAAATCACTTCTATTATAACAGCTGAGCAAATATTAATGTTGTGGACAAAAGAGGGCCTTGCCTTTGTTGTTCAGTTGTATATTATACTCTGCTTCAAGTGGCTGAAATTTCAAGATAAGGTCACAAAAGGAAAACATGGCAATTCAGAGCCTTATGTTCTATAGAGATAGACTGCTGGATCTTTGAAATACTCTCTTACCACCACCCAATTTCCAAGAAATTAAACCTCCTTGGGCAGTTTAAAAATTATTCAGGGTGACATAAGTGAAAGGGGTTGTCACATCTACTCTTCAGATTAAACATTTTTAAACTTTCAACCAGGCTTTCATTTGAAATACATTTGGTTTGTCTTTTTTTTTTTTTTTTTTTTTTGAGACAGGGTGTGTCTCTTACCCAGGCTGGAGTGCAGTGGCACAATCACAGCTCACTACAGCCTCAAATGCTAGAACTCCAGCAATCCTCCCACCTCAGCCTCCTGAGTAACTGGGACTACAGGTGTGCACCACCACAGTTGGCTAATGTTTAATTTTTGTAAAGATGGTGTCTCACTGTATTGCCCTGGCTGGTCTCAAACTCCTGGACTCAAGCAATCCTCCTGCCTCAGCCTCCCAAAGAGCTGGGATGACAGGTGTGAGCCACCACACCCACCCTGGTTTGTCCTTTTGTTCACTTCTCTGCCTCAGATAAAATTCTGTCCTCCCCCTCCTTTCCCATTGTTCTTCCCTCCTTATGATAGCTTCTGCCTCTGTCTTCACAACATGAACCAATACCACACACAAACATATACACAATGTCTCCTGCCCTTTCATGGATAGATCCATCATTATGTACCTACTTATCTATCTATTTATCTATCTGTCTTTCTGTCTGTCTATCTATCTATCTATGTGTGTCTCCGTTGCTCCAAAGTCCTTTTAGAAACACATGGAGTTTCACTGAGTAGGAGAGCACCGAAGTAGGAGTCAGAAGAATATCACCTATTGCAGACTATCCATACTTATGAGCCAGGGAGATACCAGATCTGTTGATCATTATCATTCAAGCGCTCCCTTGGAAGCAGAGGTCACTTCAAATAGAGACCTGCTAGGATGTGAGTGAAAGGAGTACAGAACTAAAAAGAGAAATGCGAGGAAGGGAAGTGCCACCTGTTTTCCAGGAGAGTTGGTGGAGCTGTGAGCCCACCAGGAAAAAGCTGTGGAGCCAGACACTTGGCAAAGACAGCCAAGTTAGAAGCAAAAGACCAAATCAGCCAACAATGTGGTCATGTTCAAATACCATGTTGATCATTTATGTCTGCTGACACTCCAGGAGGCCCAATATTTGAATTCTAAATGACACTGAGAAGGCCCCTCCAGCTCCTTTGTAGGTATGAACAAAACGAGCTATTGAAGACATGCCAGGACCACAAACTCTTGAGAGAAAACGGCATGTGGAAAATTAGTTTTAGAAAAAGTCAATTTGGCATGTATTCATAGAGAATGGGATTAGATTGATTAAACGGGGAACCCCCAACTCCATCTGGTTCTCTGCATCAGCACTGGGGGGGGGCTGTGAGGGGCAAGAGCTAGGGATTATTTTTTGGCTCTCATTAATTTCTTCCTCAGGAATCAAATGTAAAATTCAGACTGACCTTCGTTTCAGAAATTGTAAGCTGGACACCATTGGCTTCCTGATGGTTTGTGATCTCTTCAGTCACCTCCACAATGGAGTGACCAGCTCTCTTTAGCTTCTTAGAAATATATTACTGTTGACCCGGCACGGTGGCTCACACCTGTAATCCCAGCACTTTGGGAGGCCAAGGTGGGTAGATCACGAGGTCAGGAGATTGAGACCCTCCTGGCTAACACGGTGAAACCCCATCTCTACTAAAAAAAAAAAACTGAAAAAAAAAATGCAGAAAATTAGCTGGGCGTGGTGGCAGGCCCCTGTAGTCCCAGCTACTCAGGAGGCTGAGGCAGGAGAATGACGTGAACCCGGGAGACGGAGCTTGCAGTGAGCCTGGATCGTGCCACTGCTCTCCAGCCTGGGCAACGGAGTGAGACTCCATCTCAAAAAAAAAAAAAAGAAAAGAAAAGAAAAAGAAATATATTACTGGTTTTTTGTGTGTCTGTGTGTGTCTGTGTGTGTTTTTTTTACAGTGATAATGAATCGTAAACCTGAATGGCGCTCATGTTTTCCAAGAGAAGCAACCCCTGAGGAAGTCCGCTGAGCCTGCCAACTGAGGATGAAGAGGATACAAATTTAATTAATTTCAAAACAACATAGACACAAGAACCTTTTGCTGTTTCTTCCAACGCCCACTCTTCCTAATGATGGCATCACTTGCACTTGGAAGAATGTGCAATTGAGAAGTACTAGGAAAAGGCCTGGCTGCCATCCATCGCTGCCTCTGAGGGTGGAGAAGGAGGCGGGTGATGTGCGCACTTCTGATCAATGCGCGTTGCCTCCTCTCAGCCAGCTTCTAGCTCACTGCACTCACTGCTCATGCTAAATGTTCGTCACCTTTCTGCTTCATTCCTTAGGGCCTGAATCAGGAAGCCGTTTTATCAATGGTTTCCTTTGGGGCCACTAACCAGCTTTGGATAATTTCCTCTGATTATTCAAGTCCTCAGACAGGTAAACTACATTCAGCAGAACTTTTCTCGAGGAGTGTTAGGTCATGGAAAAGACACCAAACACAGCGAGTGTTTTAATGAAAACACCATCCCAGGGGGTCAGTATGCTCTGCCTGCCAAGAAGACACAGTGAGAGGGTCCACAGTCCTGATGAGATGGCGTTTGGTAACTTGTAGACCCTGACATGGCCAGGTCTGGTCACCCTTAAGAACTTCTCAGAGAAACTAGGAATCTTCGGTGAAAGAACTTATGTACTCCTCAGCTGAAATTCCCTTGCTTGTCAGCATTTCTGCAAAGCTCACACTTGTTTCACCATCCCTCCCTTGGATGTGACATGTGGGTAGGAAGTATGTGCAGGTAGGAGTCATCTGTCAGCCTATGTTTCAGAGATTCTGAAGGTGGTTTGAAACAAACAGAAGAGGAGCAGGAAATATCTGTGCCCGTGGCAGGTATCACTCATCATGCTTAGCATTCTCTCCTGCCAAGCTGGGATAAGCCTCATGTCCTAACACAGCACCCCAGGAGGTCTCTGTCAATCCATCAGAGATGACATTCTATGTGGTATTTTTGACATCCTTGTGCTAAAAGCAATGGCACAAAATGGAAAAGGGCCCACTGACCACACCTACTCCAATAAAATCGATTTCCATTTATTCCTTAATTTTCTAAATCTGACCCCTTTAAATCAATCTAGCAAATTGAGAGTCCTCAGCTCTCCTTGGATACCTGATATTTTATTTCAAGAAAGACAAAGAAGGAAAATTTTATTCATTTTACTACCCACATATAAACCAAGGGGAGATGGGACTACCCAAACATTTGCTGCTCAGTTTTGTGTCTTGTGCTTGAAAGTCTGCCCTAATGCATAACAAAAAGTACTTGTCTTCTACCTTTTGGGATCCCTTTAACAAGTATTTGCCTTCTGAACTACGTGGATAATTTTAAAGGCAGAGTTCCAGACCAGAAAGGTCTTTCCATACAATGAAAGCTATAACTAGCTGGTTGTGTTTAACCACTGTTATCACGCTATCCTGGGACTGCATAGAGCTTTGACAAAAGACAGACTTCATGGTACATAACTTCAACAGATTTGTCTGTCATATTCTCACCAGCACATCTGAATGAGGCTTTGTGTTTTCCTTGCTCTCTTGCATGTTCCTTTTCAACTCATGGCCCACAGTGACTCTCAGATATTTATGCCAAAATTGCATACAATTGTTTTCTGAATCATAACTTGTCTATTTTTCTGCCTATGTGTGCTACTTCCAGTTTGTTTCTCATCAACATTTTGACTCTCCGAAGAGCCTCCATTTGCCTCTTTCTCTCTTTAGGTATCTAAGATCTTTGAACGCTTGGGCCTTTACATTTGATCCAACCCTATCAAATAACGAACTTTTAGAAGTTCAGAGAAGTATCTGGGGTCCTGGAATCTCATGTTGATGAAGTCATATTTTATAATATGATAAAAATATTATCATTCAGTATTTTACATAATTCCAATTCTAGAAGAAGCAAATTTCAGTGACATGTCATTGAGTTTTTATTTGGTAAAGCTATACTTGTGCAGTGTACAAATCACTTTTTAAGAAGATGCTTTGTTCTATCAAGGCATATGAAGTTAGTATATGGCCACAACAGTCAAGCCTCAATTCTTGTACCTTGTGTCTTTTTATTACCGTTTAATCAATAGATATCATATGTTTATGACAGTTTCAAGAATTGTTTTTAAACCCAAACTTAATTTTATGTTTCAGACTATTGTTAGAAAAGCAAAACAGAACAAAAAACCAAAAACTCCCTCACTAATTTGCCCTAATAGCCAATCAGAACAAAATCTGACTTTAGAATATTTAGCAGATATGTAAGTTTGATTGCATTTTTGTACATTTTAAGCAAACTAGGTTAACAACAACATAGCCTAGTCAAACTTCTCAGGAAACTTGTTTTAATAAACATGTAAAAATACCCATTTGTGACTCTTGACCCAGTGGTGTGACTCTTCCCTCTGGAAAGGGCTTTGTTACCCAATGCAATACCACGGCCTGGATCCACCTTGATGTAGGTGGCTCCTGGATAACCACAGCAAACAGGTGTGCTAAAGATGAGTAAAACTGGTCTTGGGAAAATAATTTCATAGTTTTTTATTCCCAGTTATGCTATATAATACAGGAGAACCAAAAGCTGTAAAACTATTTTATTTTATTTTTTAGAGACAAGGTCTCACTATGTTGCCCAGGCTGGTTTCAAACTCCTGGGCTCAAGCAATCCTCCTGTCTCAACCTCCCAAAGTGCTGGGATTACAGGCATGAGCCACTGAGCCTGACCAGCTGTAAAATTATTATATTCGTTTTCACTATGTGCTACTTCTCACCTTTTTTTTTTTTTTTTTTGAGATGGAGTCTCACTCTGTCACCCAGGCTGGAGTGCAGTGTCATGATCTCGGCTCACTGCAACCTCCGCCTCCCAGGTTCAAGCAATTCTTTTGCCTCAGCCTCCCGAGTAGCGGGGATTACAGGTCTGTGCCACTATGCCCAGCTAATTTTTGTATTTTTAGTAGAGTTGGGGTTTCACCATGTTGGCCAGGCTGGTCTCAAACTCCTGACCTCAGGTGATCCACCTGCCTCGGCCTCCCAAAGTGCTGGGATTACAGTTGAGAACCACTGTGTCCAGACACACCCTGACTTTCACTGTAATCTCTGGATGTTTTATGTAACATACCTGGGCAATAGGGCTTATGGCAGAATTGGCCTTCTTGGTACAGGCCTTCCAAGTTCCGAGTCTCATTTTTAGTCAGCCTTCCTCCATTCCAACCCCTGGATCCACCAGTTCCAACAGCCTGGATCCACCTTGATACTGACAGCCAGGCAGATGCTTCTGCTGATCACTGCAGCTCTAGCAATGGAAATGGATGTATGAAAAAAAATTCTTGTCTGTTCTTTTATTTTGGTTGTTTAAACCAAACAACCAAAATTCACATCATCTCTGAAAAAAGGCCTTATGTTGACTAAAGAAAACATAGGCTTTAGTTTCACCTTCTGTCAGAATTAATGCCAATTCTGAATCTGGTGGAGTGATAAGATGTGGTTTCATACTGGGAAGACACTGCTGAAATTCGCCTTGTGGGAGAACATGGAAATTTTATACTGAATTAAATTAACACATGTGACTTTTCACATTCAGAGACATTCAGGATGAATTCTGGGGTTTCCATTTAATAGCTGTAACAGGCAGTCCAGAACAACTTCACATATAGAAGCATTTCTGCTGTGTGACAATGACCAAAAGGGTTCTGTATATTAGTGTCGAGTGGAATTTGTCAAATTGCAGAACCCAGACAACCAATTGCCTGAATTATTATTTTTTGTTTTTAGCAACTCTTTGGCTTTATCTTGATGCTGTCTTGTCTGGCACCAAAGTTTTATTTCCCTCTTAGTCCTCTTGGGGATTGTTTTTGGGTGTTTCTTTTAATTTTTCTTTTTTTGGGACAGGGTCTCACTCTGATGCCCAGGCTGGAGTGTAATGGTGTGATTATGACTCACTGCAGCCTCAACTTCCCAGGCTCAGGTGATTCTGTTACCTCAGCCTCCCAAGTAGCTGGGACTACTGGTGTGCACCACTAGGACCGGCTAAATTTTTGTGTCTTTTGTACAGATAGGGTTTCACCATGTTGCCCAGGCTGGTCTTGAACTTCTAGGCTCAAGCAATCCTCCCACCTCAGCCTCCAAAAGTGCTGGGATTACAGGCATGAGCCAGCATAACTGACTGGGATTATTTGTACCTGGACTTGGTGTTTTGTTTTATTTTTTTGCCCTATGACCTTTTCTAAATAACATATCATGTTCCTGAGATAGCAGTACATACAATTATGTAAAATAGAGCTTTATATGAACTCTGTACATGCTCTAAGCTCTTTTTGAATGATATTTTAAGAAGTTTCTAAACCAAAGTGCTTAAGATAACATGAAGACGTTAATTTCATGAAGACTGTACAAGATTAGAAGTACAACGTAGACCTGTTTAGGACAAAGGTGGATGGGCTTTGGTGGTTATTTTACAACTGGACTTCAGGTACAGAAGGCTTGGGTAATGGTACTCCTCAGTTCATATCACCTTATCATTAGTCTTTAGTATTTTGTAGATAAGTAACTGGACTTTTATGAAAAGCATATTCTTAACAGTTTTCCATTTCATTTTTTTTTTCTAAGATAGGATCTTGCTCTGTTGCCCTGGCTGGAGTGCAGTGGCACGATCTTGGCTCACTGCAACCTCCGCCTCCCAGGCTCAGGCGATCCTCCTGCCTCAGCCTCCCAAGTAGCTGGGATTATAGGCGTGTACCACCACATACACAGCTAATTTTTGTATTTTTAGCAGAGTCAGGGTTTCGCCATGTTGGCCAAGCTAGTCTCGAACTGCTGGGCTCAAGTGATCCGCCCACCTCGGCCTCCCAACATGTTGGGATTACAGGCATGAGCCACCGTGCCCAGCCAGTTTTCATTTCTTCGGTCTGCATGTAAAGGACTAAAGAAATGATATGTAGCTACTACATTGCCACAAACAACATTTTTCCAGTGTAAAAATCAGTGGAGAGTAAGCGTTTTATTACTCTGACTTAGATGAAACACCTGAAATTATAAATAATGTCAGGAACATGTGAAAACCCCACATGTTTAATAAATGCCAGCTTTCAGAAAGAACAGAGATTATAGGTATTCAACAAGTTAAAAAATAATGTGGTAGATCAGTAATAATTTAACAGATATGTATCTTGTACTTACAGTTAACTTAAAATTATGTTAAAAATAAAACTCTGTGTTTGACTTTCTTTTGTTTTACAAATGATGCAAAGTATCTGCTGAGAACGTCAGTTAGATCATCAGATGTCATATTTACCACTTAACTTTTGTCCCAGCAGCATATAAAGTCTACCTTGTAAGCCTCATGTAAGAAATGGTCTCAGCCAGTCACAGTGGCTCACACCTGTAATCCCAACACTTTGGGAGTCCACGGCTGGTGGATTGCCTGAGCTCAGGAGTTCAAGACCAGCCTGGCCAACATGGTGAAACCCCATCTTTACAAAAATGCAAAAATTAGCCAGGTGTGGTGGTACTCACCTGTAATCCCACCTACTCAGGGGACTGAGGCACAAGAATCACTTGAACCCAGGAGATGGCAGTTGCAGTGAGCCAAGATTGTGCCACTGCACTGCATCCTGGGTGACAGAGCAAGATTCTGTCTCAAAAAAAAAGAAAAGGAAATGGTCTCACTGCTATGGATTAGAACTAATTTGTAAAATTATCAGAATTTTAAGACTGATTAAAGGTTTTAGGTGTTTTTCTCCTACTTTGCATACTGAGAATAATATGTATAGTATTTTTCCAATATGATTTACAATTTTATAAATGTCAGTATACATGTATGTATATAAATTATTCTCAACTCCATGTTTTTTTAAATAAAATAAGTACATGTTTGTGTGCTAAATTGCTCATTTAGCAGTGATAGACTGAACAACATTTATATATTTAAAAATAAAGCACTATCAGTACGCCAACATGGCACAAGTATACATATGTAACAAACCTGCACGTTATCCACATGTACCCTAGAACTTAAAGTATAATTTAAAAAAAAATAATAAAGCACTATAAGACATGAGGAATGAATAGCTTCTACATGAATTTCTATGTAATTAATGAACATCAATATTTAGAATAAAGATGTATTTGAGGGTAAGATATTTGTTTACTAAAACGTTTTATTTACTATGAATAGAGGTGAATTGTGCATCTTTCTGAGGAAAAGTTCTTTTAATTTCTGTGTCTATGAAAAAGAATTTTTATCTTCATAATTGCACTCTTTTGATCCATATAATTCTTTAAATAAATAAAACAATACCAATTCAAAAAGGGACCTGCTTTGTATTAAACTGTCTAACCTAAAAATTAAGTAGACTTTCTGCATATCTAAAATATATTATTACATATTCTTGTCTTTATTCTTCCTTACAAAACATTTTTAAATGAAGGAATGAAATTTTAATTGTTTATGAGAATACAACTTTTAAAAATATTTCTAGTAGGCCAGGTGTGGTGGCTCACACCTGTAATCCCAGCACTTTGGGAGGCTGAGGCAGGTGGATCACCTGAGGTCAGAAGTTCAAGACCAGTGTGACCAATATGGTGAAACCCCATCTCTACTAAAAATACAAAAACTAGCCAGGCGTGGTGGCAGTCGCCTGTAATCCCAGCTATTGGGAGGCTGAGCAGGAGAATTGCTTGAACCTGGGAGGCGGAGGTTGCAGTGAGCGCCAAGATTCAGCCACTGCACTCCCGGCTGGGTGACAGAGTGAAACTCCGTCTCAAAAAAAAAAAAAAAAAAAAATTCTAGTAAAAATGGAAATCCACAAGAAAAACCTTCTCTTTCTTCCTGATTTTTTAAAAAAATTTTTTCTTCATGCCTTTAATTTTAACCTCATCTCACACCTTGACATTAGAAGAGCGCAAGGCTGAACAGCAGATGCCTAAGATGTAGATTACATGAAGACTTCCTTGAATAAGGATTTATTCTTTCAGCTCACAAAGACCAGTCAGTATTACTGACAAACAACAGGCAGAAAGATTTCTCCTAAAAGTCTCAACTAAAGTTAAACCTAGTCCATTATGGCATCAATCTACCCTTAGAAATACATGGATACAGAGTGTATTTCCTCCTTGTTTTAACTAGAACTTAGCCAGACTGGAGACAGCATGGACCCAAAGAGTATGCAGTCCCACAGAGTTAGGGAAAGGATGCATCTTGACTAGCATTCATCATGTGGATCCGTTAGGAATTAAGTTACTAATTCAAGGTGAGCTGGTATGGCTGCTCCCTGGTCATCTAGGACACAAGTCCCTTCTAACTCTTCCCCACCTTCATTAGTACAGGGCTTCTTTCCTGTCTTCCCACGTGATCCAAAATGATGGTTGTAAC